GCCCCCTTCCTCTTTTTTTTTTATCCTCCTAACAAAACTCAGCTCTGATTAATCCCCCACCCCACAGTTGCCTATAGGTCTCGCTCTACATCCATGACTCAAGTAGGTCCTTTGTGGTGCCCGCAGTCAGACTTGTCCTGAAATGGGGAAGCACAATGCCACCGCGGGCTGCTCGGTGCCCCAGAGCCCGGACGCCACAGCGTTGGGTCGGAGCCCCCCATCTTCCAGGCGTTGCTGCTCAGACCTTCATGCACACTCAGCCAACCCTCTGGAGAAGAAATCCTGTTTAGAAAAACAGCTTCTCTCCACCAACACCCCAGCTTTCTGGTGGCTTCAAAACCAAAGTCATGTGATGTGTGACGTCGCCGCTGAGGGCACCCTTTCCATTTCCGCTTCATTTTCTGTACTCTCAGAGTTGCTGAGAGAGCTGTTTTGGCATTTCCTTCTATTCTTAGCACCAAAGCACAGAGTTAGAACTGCACATTCATTTTTCAATTAAAAAATCAAGAAGGCCTGACCCTGGAACTCGGTTGGTTAGAGCACCCTCCCAAACCCCTGAAGTTGCGGGTTTGATACTAGGTCAGGGCACATACAAGAGCCCACTGATGAATGCATAAATAAGTGGGAAAACGAATCAGTATTTTTCTCTCTCTCTCCTCCCTCTTTCTCCCTGTCCTTCCCCCCACCCTCTAAAAGTTAATAAAATTAAAAAAATAAAACAAGAACACTTGGGTGTGGGGGGTGGAAGGGGCTGTGACCAAGTCACTCCAGGGTGAGGTAGAAAGCACCTGAGTAGGGGCCCGAAGACTTTGACTCTGTGGTGATGTGTCACCTGGGGCAAATCCCTTTAGCTGCCTGGGTCCCAGCCTCATCATCTGCAAAGTGAGAGAACTAGAGGAGGCAATTCCTGCTGCTCTTTCTAGAGCTTTCATTCTGACTTGGTCACAGGATGCTACTTCATTCCCTGTTGCCCCTGCTTTTTCAGCCTCTGGCTTCACTTGTTCATCAGTTTTTCCATCCAGTAAAGGCTGTGCTTCGTGCCCGGAAGGTACAAAGATAAATGGGACGCAACTCTGGCCCTCTAGGAGCTCACAGGCCTTACAGACGAATAGCTTGATATAATCTTATTATGCCATGTGATGGGTTTTGGGGGGAAGTATGTTCAAAATATGATGGGAACAAAGAGGAAAAAGGAATTAGTCCTCATGGTGGAGGTTACAGTCCACAAAGGAAATGGCATTACAGGGTCCTCGTAAATGGTCCAGTGGACTTTGCCAGAGTGTGCTTGGATGTAGCAGGTGCAGGAAGGACATTCGGGTTGTGCAAAAGGGCCCAGAGTTTCAACAAATCTGGGGGACAAATTCCAAGTTTTCCATATGCCTGACCATTAGGCACGTGAGGGGACGTGTCAGGGCATGAGGCTGGAGAAGACAGATTGGGAACTTTTCTCTTGATTTCTCCTTATTTAGCAAAAATCTCATTTTGGAATTATCCCAAGTTACTCATTTTTTTTTTTTGGTCAGGACTGCTCTGCCATTCCTGAAGTCTTACCCTCTCTAGTCTTTGCTCTCTGTGTTATACATGTTATTCTGAAGTGTGGCTCTTTTATTTATGCCTTCCTCCTATATATGTTCAACCAAATCAGTGGCCAAATATTTCCATGTGATATATAAGGCAACAAATAACAGCAGCTGTGTTTCACAGAGAGAAAAGCTCAAGTAATCGCTGATTTGTAGATTGCTCCATACAAGGTAAACAGACCAGAAATATGGCCTGGGTCCTTATGTCATGAAAACTCCATGACTTTCTTTTTTCTAAGTTGAGTGAAATAAATAATCTTAACTATCCCAGGCAATCACAGTGGGGCTGTCACAAGGGTTAGAGTTACAGTCAAGTATAACTTTAGGGAGGAACTAAATATTGAGAACACCATATAAGGGAAGGAAACATCAAAAGTTACTGCTCAGCATGTGGGTTGGTAAAACTAAAATCTTGAGCCCAGGAGAACAGCTGCTTCTTTTTCCCAGTCCAGTTGTTTCATAAAGAAACAGTGTTGCTGTTTTAAAAGTCACTGTGGGAGATGGTTGGTCACCCAAACTTCAGGGTAAATAATGCCTAGGTGGGTCACTATCCAAGATTTGGCCTTTGGCTTTAGAGATGCAAAAAGTTCAATTATTAATTCTCCCAGAACAGAGCAGTTCAGAGCAGAACTGACTCTGAACTCAGATGAAATAGATGTTTATTTTATAAAGTAAGCTCTTTATATTGCGTCTCTAGCACCATCTACTGGGAAACAAAAGTCTCCTTCAGAATAGAGTTGAAAGCATCAGAAACCAAAGCTCAGCAAGAGGAGGAAAGCGGAGAAAGGAGAAGCTAGGCAGATTCTGTCTAAGAAAGAGAAGATTAAGAATACAAGTATTATATTAAGGCTACTTATGTATAGATGTAACTACTAAAAAAATACGCACTTTCTAAAACACACATAGACCATATAGTAAAAGATTTTTAAAAAACTAACTAGAATTTAGAAACACAGAAAGCATGCCATAAAATATAAGGAAAGAAGTAAGAACACTTAGAACATGTCATATTAATGCCATAAAATGTCCCTATTAAGCAAAGTTTCTCAGATGGAATCACAAAGCAAAACCCAGCGGAATGTTGTGTACAAACCAAGTGACTCAGAAGGTAGAAAATACGAGAATTCAAAAGCACACCAAACAAATGAAAGCTAAAGTAGCAGTAGCCTCAACCTGAACCTCAGCAAAAGCTGAATTTAGGACAGAACGCATTAAATCACCTAAGAGAAGACACCTTGTAATGATAAAGAATGCAATTCACAAAGAAAGTTCACCAAAAATTGAGTGTATCCAAGCTCATTAAGAAAACTTAAGGCAGTTTCATAAAATATAATATAGCCGACATTGACCTCTTAGTAACTTGAATCAAAAGGAAATTAAACCCCTAAAACTAGGAATATATAGAAAATAACTGAATAGAATATTATATTATGTATTGGGACTATATAATAAGTGGGGATATTATAATAAATGCAACGTTGTAATTCTGTGTCATAGAAACTCCCCGTCACCTGTATTCAAGCTGTTTCCTCCACGTCTTCAGGCTTCCTCACCCATTCAACTTAATGTGCTCTCGCCTCAAGCCACCGCTCAGCCCTGTTGCTTCTTCCATGAATTTCCCATCTGCCCCAAGTGCACCCACTCACACTGTCTGTCTCCATTCCTTCCGCCAAACCACATGCCAGTTTCGCTTCTCATTGATCTGTGTGCTGTCCCCTACCCATCAGAGTGCCTGGCCTACAGTCGGTGTTTAATCAATGTCGATGGAGCGAAAGAGTGACCCAGTGAAGGGCGCCTGGTCCGTGGCTCTGGCTCTGACACATTCCAAGAACGTGCCAATGGGAAGAAGGAATGGTGCTGGGCTTCCTCACATTACTAAGTGAACTAACTTTAAAATATTCATGTTCCCTGTTTGAAGTGGCTCGGCCTAGCCCCTAGGGAAGAAGAGACCTGGAAGTTAGGAGAGAATGAGAGGTGACCAAGCAAACAGCACTGTTTCAGGACAACGTACGATCCATATTGCGGCTGTTCGGCAGGCATGTCCAGAGGACTGTCTGTTGAGAGATGATCTCTCTTCCTTTAATCTCTAGTTGAAACCACTCACAAAATAATCCTGATTTCTCTTCTTTGCTCTCAAATCCCTGATTACTTGTTCAGAGGTTTCAGAAGAGCAGGGGATATGGGAAACTGTTTTCATGTGTTTAATCAGTTCTAAGATGCCATCCATTGTAAAGTCATTATTTTACATCCTGTGAAGGAGGAATGTAAACCTGCCAGTTAAACCATAACATGATTTCAGAGACCTTAAAATATGGAAACGAGGGCCTTCACCTAATGAAATACAGCATGTCAATACCGTAGCGGATTGTTCGTTGACATCGTTACATGGGTCTCACTTTCCTCATCTGCTACATGAGTAGTTTGGACCAGATGAGCTCTGAGAAACCCTTCTGGTCCCAGCACCCGTGAGTTCCGTGGCACCAGAGGCATGTTCCTGACCGGGCACTGGTGCGTGATGACCACCAGGACAGAGTTCCTGTCCATGCCCCTTCTGTGCTTTGACCTTTGAGAGTTGAGGGGCCCCACACTGCAGTGTCTCCCCTCAGGGCTGAGCCCACCCACACCATTGTGGAGGGGCTTCAGGATGTCCCTTGGTTAGAACGAGTGTCCTGCTCCTAGAGCTTGAAGAATCCTGTTCTCTCTCTCTCTCTCTCTCTCTCTCTCTCTCACACACACACACACACACACACACACACACACACACGGTGCTCACCAACCAGAACTCCTTCAGGGATCACTCCTGGAGACACGAAGCTTTCATTCCAAGCATTGACTCTAAAATTGGTGAACAGTAGAGTGGCCAGCAGCACACCCCAGCTTGGCCTGGACTGTCCCAGTTAACTAACTCATTTGTCCCAGTGATGTTATTAACAGGCCCCATTACAGTTTAGAATGAGTCTACAGGGAGTGATGGGGGAAGGGTCATTGCCAGTGTCCCTTTGGCTAATAATGGCCCCAAATGGTATGAGTGTCTGGTTAGCCACTGCCAGGTACTAATGCTTGGTTATGAGCCCTGGGATATTTCAGCAATAAAGCGAGAAATGTCAACAAAGTGATCAACTCCATGGTTGAAACAACCCTTTATCCAACTTAGCCAATAATGGAAATTAAGCATTTTCCTGATCCTTGCATTTTTTTTCACATGTGAATGACTCTGAATGTTCTGACCACTACATTTGCAATTAGGAGCATCTCACAATTTTTTTTAAAGTCTAATAACTCATTCTCCTTCTTAGGATCTGGGCTCCTATCTCCTTTACAAATTGTAATGAAGCCTGAGAGGGTAGAACAGTGGGCCTTTATAGAACACCTGTAAAAAGCTGGGCATTTATCACCCTTTTTCCTGCCTCTTCCCACCAGGAGAGGTTGCGCCAGTGCAAGGAACTGCCTTTGACCTGAGGAAGCCAGTGGAGCTTGGGAAACACCTGCAGGCGTTCCACATCAGTGGCTTCGACCACAATTTCTGCCTGAAGGGATCTAAAGAAAAGCACTTTTGCGCTCGGTAGGTACTGTTCCCTTCCTGCCTCTGTGGTGAAGGACAGATAGCAACCCCTATTGGAGGAGCTTTTCCTCTGGCCACATCAATACCATTCACTGTGCTACTGGGACCAAACGCCACATCCGTGTCTTTTCAAAGTTTATATTCCACAGGTAAGCGTGGCAGAATTTTTTACCCCCTAACCCCACATGCCCTCATCCCCGTGCCCCTGCCTGGCTCCTGCCTCTCTCTGCTCCCACTCTCTATTTCCACCTGTTCCTTAATACCCATTTGTTAGAAGGTCTAATTCCTTTTGACTGGAGTCAGTTCTGCCTTCCTTGAACTTCCAGACCCCTTTGTGCTTCGTTGGGCTTGTGACTTTTGCCCCACCCACTTCCGTGGAAGGTCAGAGGCTGCACTTCCCACCTCCAGCTTTGTTTGAAAGGCACTGTGTGCGCACTCCCCTCTCACTCAATTCTGAGTCCCTGCCTCCACCTAACACCCAATGCCATGCTTGGCACTAGTAGATGAGCAGATGATCCATTAATGTTTGTAGGATGAATGGATTGTCCACAGCGCAGAGAAAATGACTGAGTCAAAGAGCACTTGAAAGGCCTTCTTTCCCTCGGCATCCTGCACCCAGGCCCCAGCGGTGTCCTTTCAGCTCCGCTGCCTTTCTCCTCTGTGCCTGCCCCTCACACCCCTGTCCCCACTGCTCTCACCTGACGAGACCCCTTCTCACCAGGCCTCAAGTCCTGGCCCTCCTCTTCCCAGACCTCTTTCCCCGAACCTCTTGGTTGACGGCACATTGTGGAGACGTTTTACTTCTCAGAGAGACTGAGAGACCCAGGCTTTCTTTAGCTATATCTATCCCTTTAACACCAAGTATAGAACCAGGTAGGCACTTACCTCTGTAGGGAAAAAAAAAAAAGGAAGCAGTGATTCTAGCAGCAGCCCCAGCCGATGTAGGAGAGAGCTGACTGAAGAGCATAGCCTGCTCCAGTCCCAGGGAGATGGGTGTTTAATTTGGCAGTGTTTCTTTTCTGTAAAAAAACCCCAGCTGGTTGTTTCACCAGGCTGAGCAGAGAGCTCCAGGTCTTTATGAGAAAGAATCCCAGCCCTGGCAGGTGTGGCTCAGTGGATTGAGCACCAGCCTGCAAACCAAAAGATTGCCGGTTTGATTCCCATCAGGACATGTGCCTGGATCATGTGCCTGGGTTGCAGGCCAGGTGCCCCAGGTGGGGGCATGGGAGAAGCAACTGATCAAGAGCAATGTATCTCTTGCACATGAATGTTTCTCTCCCTTTCTCCCTCCCTAAAGAGTAAATAAATAATGTTGTGGTTTTTTTTTTAAGAGTCCCTCCAGAACCTTCAAACTGCCTCTTTTTCCAACCTGGCTGCCCCCCTCACCCCCCCCACACACACACACCTGGCTGGTTTGTCCCCCTCACCCCCACCCAACACACACACACACACACCACCACCACCACCACCACCCCGGCTGGTTTGTCCAGCCAGGAGACTGTTTTGTCATTCTCCAGAGAAATCAGAGTTGCTGGTGAGGTTGAGGATCCTCAAAACCACCTGCTACTGCCTCACCTAGGAGTCACTTAGGAGGCTGTGAGAATTTCCCATGATGCTCTTCCTACCTTTGCCTCTTCCATATATCTTGTTCTGGCTCTGTGACTGGGTCTGATTCTACTCAAAGCTGCTTCCCAGCTTCAGCTTGCCTCTGCCTGTTTTTCTGCCCTGGACCTAACGTGGTTTGGCTTTATCCCCAGGGTCCGCCATGCTGGAAGCGGGCGTGTACTGGAAGTGTACACCACCCAGCCCGGGGTTCAGTTCTACACGGGCAACTTCCTGGACGGCACCCTGAAGGGCAAGAGTGGAGCAGTCTACCCCAAGCACTCCGGTTTCTGCCTCGAGACCCAGAACTGGCCTGATGCAGTCAATCAGGTAAAGCCACAGGTTGACCTATTAGAGTGGCAGTGTGTCCAAGGTCACCCTATATGACAGACATCGTGACTCTCAAGTCAGGTCTGTGTGATTCAAAAGTCCATGTGCATTCTCTTCTCCAAATCATGATAAACACAGGAAACACTCAGCCACGTTACTAACCTGGCATTTACATGTTTTTAAAAATCTTGTTTTGTGCCTTCAAAGCCTTTATTCAAATTAACGTTTCTCGATACCTCCTCATTGTCTGCCACCACACTTCTCAGATGATCCTTCATATCTTCTCCCCTTTTGCTTCCTCAGGACGTTCTTCTCTGTTTCCTAGAGTAATGCTCTGCAAAGCCCCCTCCTGCAAGACACTTGGGAGTTTGCACCAGAATATACATCAACACACTGCTTCGTTCAAGAGTCTTGCTGTGACACAGTGTGCTTAGTGATGTAGTTGATTTTCATTCTGGCTCAAATTCTCAGTCTCACTGGAAATCAATAACAGTTTGTACATTGCTGTCTGGTTCTCGGAGCTGGTCTAAAGACCAATCCAGAAGCCATCCTGGATAAGGGTTCAACCTGTGCTGGCTGTAACCTGTGTCTTTTTTCCCTTCACAGCCTCACTTCCCCCCTGTGCTGCTGAGGCCTGGTGAGGAGTATGACCACACCACTTGGTTCAAGTTTTCTGTGGCTTAAGGAAGTACAAAGATATAACCTGCTCCAGAACCAGACTGGGAGCTCCATCAGCTGCTGCCTGTCTTCTATTCAGAAATGAGATGAAGATTTAGAGGCATTGTTAAAATGATCCTGTGATTTAAAATCACACAAATGGTCGCTGTCATATCAATCAATAACCAATCTGAATATTGATTCCCTTCCCAATGACTGGCTCCAGGTCTAATGACCAGCTCTATTCTGTGTTGTTAAGAGGACCCAACTACCAATCATCATCCAGGCTCTAATCCTAGCCCAGAAATGGCACCTGGACCCCCATGCTCCACGAGCTCTATCTCACCACTGTGCCTTTCTTTTCTACTTTTCACCCCTTTTGAGTCTACTCTCTCATTCCTCTTTTTCCCTTTTTACAAAAAGCATCCGCCTAAGTTTAACTGTCTCTGAGCCTTGTAAGTGGTGTGACTCAAAGTACAAGAATCTGTCATTTTGATTCTCTGCCTTTGAAGTTAACTGAGAAAGCCCAGCCCAGACCAGCCAAGGTACAGAAGAAAGGAAGCCGTTGGGAGTCAGCTGTGTCTGTGAGGGCAGGACCTTCCATGGTGATTGCACGCCACACCTGCAAGAGGTCGTGCTATGAAGATGAGGCTGGGCTCCCTGTTTTCCTGAAGAGCTGAATCATCGGTGATGGGTATGGGTTGGTGGCTTTTAAAGAAATGTTTTTTATATACTAGCAATTAGTTGAAATTAAAGCAACAAAAACCCCGCACCTTCAAAAACTCCGTTTCTTCACTTCTTTAAACTTGTTAGGCATGGATCTTTACTAAGTGGACTAAGTATATGACATGTTCTAGATTCTACAATGGGCTCCCATACAAGCCCCAGCGTCTTCCTAGGGGAAAGCTACCTAACTGGTGGCCAACTGAACTTCCCATTCTTCCTCTCTCTTAGCAACCAAAACCAAATGAAAATGGTGTTTTTCTTAATTCATTTCAGCATGGATTTTCTGAGTATCTTTTTTGCATAGTTCTCTGCTGGGTCCTTTAAGCGAATCAAGAGGTAATGATGCCTAAGACATAGTATGTTCCCCCGGGATATCCCAGTCTCCCTGGGAGAGCTGAGACTAACAGTAGCAACCCAATGATGTAGAATTACACAGCACAGCTGGGAGCCCTGAACTAGTATTGTACTTTGCTTCTTCTGACACTTACTACATAGGCAAACCATTTAATTTCACTTGAGGTCTGTTTTCTCACTTGCAAAGTACTTGGTTTTCCTCTGTTCTAAAAAAAAGAATTGTTTTTACTATAAGCCTAGCCAAGAGTAGCTCAAATAAGGATATTCACCTGTAGGGCAGTTGAAATAAGTTACTGGTATTTGAATAATGTTTATGAAAGACAATAAAAAGTTGAAGTTTGACTGTCAAGCCGTAAGTCTGACGAAAGTAAAATTTCAGAGAAATTGATCTTTTGAAGCAGCAACCAGTCTATTCATTTTCCTGACACACACACATAAAAGAGAACTTTGATGTGCTTGAGAAAAGACACTATATAGTTGTAAGACACGTGGGAGTATAACTGTAGCATTTTATGATAAAACCACAAAAGCTGTCAGCCAGAAACGATTTTATAGTAAGACCTGGACACTCTGTTCATGTGCAGTAGTGAAAATAAACATGGTATTGGATACAAAAAACATCATGTACCTACAGTACTGAAGTCTTGTTCAAAATGCAAGTACCCACTAACATGCAATACACATTCCCCTCCAGAAACTAGTCTCCAGGGCCCTGGGGATCCAAGCCTTCATTACCACACATCTGCTGCCCACACCAGATTAGTGCTTTATTGTACTGAGTTCTGATCCACCACAGGTGAGCATGTTATTGGTTCAGCTCAATGATCTGTGGAATCCTGTTTGTTTCATATTCATGGGACATTAAGTTCTCATCTTTAGCTGTGGGATTTTCATTTTTCCTATTTCCACTTATTTGGCCTAACAACCAAGATATAATATTACAAAACTGCACAAACACTGCTGTAAAGACTAAACTAAGATGACATGCTGTGGAGGTTGAATTGTTGTCTTAGGTGACCAATGACAGTCCAACCTCAGCAGACTAAAGGAAGTTAGTGTCAGTGAGTTAAATGGACAGTCTGTGAAAAGTAGAACATGAGGAAAATCACAGGACTACCAGAAGACAGGAGGGAAGCACAACAATACCCTGTCCCGTCGCCAGGGCCCTTTACGAGTTGTAAACATTTTAAACAGCTGGATCACCAGTTTGCAACCGGCTATTTGGACAGTTTTGACAGAAGTGCAGTCCTTTTCCAATCGAGATACTTATCTTTTCCCTGTAAGTTCCAACTTCTTCAATCCAGTTACTCAAACTGTAATTTTCTTGGGGTAGTACTTCAGCTGTAGCCAAGTAAAGTGCTCAGCAAGCCCTCTCCTCAAAAAAGCAAGTATAATGCTGGAAAAAAAAGCCACAAAACAACTTTGCTGCTCTGGAAACTGACCAGAAACACACAACAATCTGAGGTGTGTTTATGTTCGAAAACCTGAACTTTGGGTAGGAACAGTTGGGAAACTGTGGCGTTCTCTCCTGGGACTGCTCCCACTCCCCTCCCTTTCCCAGTGCAGTCACTGTGGAGGATCTGCTAGGACAAAACAGAGTATGAGAACCAGCAGCTTGCTGTCATTGATGGGGGGGGCTCACTCAGTTTGGAGTGGTGAGGGATATGTCCAGAAACTTCATCAAGGCAATGGAAGTGATGATCTCAGTGCTACGTGAGCACAAGGGCAGAGGGCTCTGCTGCCCTGAAGTTGCAATCATGACCGGAGCACACAGGTACTGGTCACTCAGAGGCTCGCACATGCGTAGCGAGACCAGAGGGTCCAAGTCACTCAAGCAACTTCTGGCCAACTCCGAGAGGCTGCATGTGCAGAAAAAATTGAGAGACTCAGCAAAAAGTAAAAGCCAAGACAAACTCAAAAACAGCCTAAACACAAAATTCACTCCCTGCCTACACACAGGTCCATCAGCAAATGGAAAAAGTCCGACTGATTGAGGTGTTTTTTTTTTAAAGATTTATTTATCTTTAGAGAAGGGAAGGAGAGCGGGAGAGAAATAGCAATGTATGGTTGCCTCTCATGTGTCCCTTGCTGGGAACTGGCCTGCAACCCAGCCATGTGCCCTGCCTGGGAATTGAACCATGATCCTTTCGTTCAGCAGCCCAGGCTCAATCCACTGAGCTACACCAGCCAGGGCTGAGTGAGGTGTTTCTGTCCAGTTATTGACTGACCATTGAGCTATACAGAGACAGGGTAATCCCTAATAAGCTAAATCTTGTGTTTAAAAATAAACACAAGATTTAAAAAGTAATTACCAAAATAACTAGATTATAAAAAGGAACCAAGTGAAATTCTGAGGTTGGACTATATAGTAACAAATGAAAAGTTCACTATAGAGGCTCAGAAATTAGATTCAAGATGGAAGAAAGAATAAAATAGATGAACAGAAATTTTTCAATTTGAAAACCCGAGAAGAGATTGAAGAAAATGGCAAAGAACCTGGGATGTGTGGGACATCAAGTACATGAAGCATATGTATAATGGGAGTCCAAAAAAGAGAGGAGAGAAAGGAACAGAAAAATATTTCAAAAAGTACCAGTAATTTTGGGGAAAAACTCAACCAAATTTGATGAAAACCATTATACTAGATATCCAAGAAGCTCAACAAACTCCAAGGATAAATACAAAGAGATCCCCACCTAAACAACATCATGTTTAATGCCAAAAAAGAAATTTTAAAGCAAGAGGAAATGACTCATCTATCTGTACAGGGGCACCATCAATACAATTAACATCTGACTTCTCATCTCAAACAAGGGAGTCCATGAAGCAGTAGAATGGCAGTTAATATACTTAAAATTCAAGGACTCGATGTCACCCCCAACTGCCCTTTCTAAAGCGATGGTGAAATAAAAATATCTCCAGATAAAGAATGAGGGGATTCATTGCTAGCAGACCTGTCAGGCAATGACAGGTCTTTGACGGGTCATTCCCTAGCTATTTATGGCTATTACAACAAATACTAGTAGAGGAAGCCCTTTCTGCTGAAAGGCAATTAAGACGGTAACTCAAATCCATTGAAAGAAATGAAGATCAGAAATGATAAATATGTGAGTTAATAAAAAAACTGTATTTTCTCATCACTTTAGAAGATATAACATGGTTCACTGAGTTTATGATACATATATAGCACACCATGGAGTACAGTTCAGAAAAAGAAAATATAATGGAGCAAATTTTCTGTATTTTATCAAATTAATCTGAAGTAGGTTGTGATAAATCAAGATGTAACGACTAAAAAAATAACTCAATAGTAAAAAAAAATCAAGGAGTTAAAATGATACACTAAAAATATTTAATATAAAAGAGGCAGTTATAGGATAAAAGGAGATGTAGAAAACAATAACTATAAATCTAATCATGTTAAATGTAGATGGTTTAAATATCACAAAAGACAGTTTGTCAGACTAAATCAAAAAGCAAGATCTAGCCCTGGCTGGTGTAGCTCAGTGGATTGAGCATGGGCCTGAGAATGAAAGGATCATGGTTCGTTTCCCAGTCAGTACACATGCCTGGGTTGCAGGCCAGTTCCCAGCAGGGGACACACAAGAGGCAACCACACATCGACATTTCTTTCCCTCTCCCCTTCCCTTCCCCTCTAAAGATAAATAAATAAAATCTTAAAAAAAAAAAGCAGATCTAGTAACTAATGATATACTCATACCCCAATAAGCCAAAAGTAAATGGATGGGAAAGACATACCGTATAACAGCTGGAATGACTATTTTAGTATCAGACAAAATAGACTTTACAACCATATTACTAGACAGATATTTTATAATTTAAAACAGTATTACTAGACAGATATTTTATAATGATAAAACCATCAACACATCAGAAGATATGATTATAAATGTTCTATATGCACCTAATGGAGCCTTAGATGTTTGACGCAATTGTGACCAGAACCCATGCCTGGAGTAGCGTTGGTGCAGGTAAATACCGCTTCAAACTTCCGGAACAGAATGTTCACATTTTTTTTTAGATGAAATTTCTCTGAGCACAGTGACCTCTACTGGTACCAACATAAACTAAAATGCAATTTCTGCCTTTTTCATAGAAATGTTCCATTATAGCATTTGGTTAGAGAAAGGATCAGAGAAACCTAGAGGGTACATAACAGAGCCCTGCTTTGATGAGTGCTGCTAACTTAACTATATAATGGCAGTAAGCCAGGCCAATCCACCCAATAACTAATGAACCAGGCTAAGCTGGCTGCTGGCTAACAGCAGTTTTCAATGCTGGTTGTATATTAGAATCAGCAGGACAGTTTTTTAGACTTTAATGCCCAGGCTTCACCCTTAGGAATTTTGGTTTCACCAGGTTTAAAGCTTCTTGGGTCCTAACATATACTTAGGAATGAGAACCACTGCCCTTGAGTAAAAGCTTTTGCTATTATTATGGCATAAAGCTCACCAATACTGTAAGCGCATAAATGTATTCAGCTAGAATTTGCTCCCTAGCTGCATGAAACACATCCTCAACAATGAATCACACAGAAAGTCCTCCCAGACCAAAAGTATGTCTTGGCAAACCCTGCAAACCCTGACAATAATCCCGACACCCAAGATCTTCAGAGATTATTTTGAAGATTGTAAACAGTTGAAGATATGTCTAAGCCAGGGGTTGACAAATATTTTGTGTAAAGGGTCACAGTATTTTAAACTTTGTGTGACTTAAGGGTCTATCATAATTATTCAACTGCTGTCATTATAACATAGAAAATAATAAATAGTATGTATATGAATGAGCACTATTCCTATAAAACTTTATAGATGCTGCAATTTGAATTTCACATAATTCTCATGTCCTGAAGTAGTTCTTTTTCTCAACCACATAAAAATGTAAAAACCGCCCTCATTTGTGTGACTAGGTTGTAGAGTGGATCCCCAGTTGGTGTGCATAGCGTATGAGAGGCAATGAATCAATATTTTTCTCTCTCTAATCAATAATATTTTTGAAAGAATAAAAAATAAAATGTAATAGCCATCTTATCCTATTAGCTGCATGAAAACAGCAGTGGGCCAGATCTGGCCCACAGGCCCTCATTTCCTGAATCCTGGTCTAACAAACAGCCGGCACCCTCAAACAATAGGAACATTACAGCATGGCACATTCATCCTTAGGCAAGGGAAGCAATACATTACATTACAGGAGCCCAGAACCCTGGTGATTGTCCTCCTGACCACACTGAGATAAACTGGCTCATCTGCCTTGACCGCTGTCATATTTATGTTCCCTATAGCCAGAACTCTCAGTAAAAGGATTCATTTTCCAGATTCCAGATTCCTGAAGATACATTACAACCCAAAATAAAAATAGGGTCTTCATATAGGATGGTATCCAACCACCTTCAATTTCCTGTCACTAAGATTCCTTTCAGTCAGGGGAAACCTAGAGGTGGAGACATACAACCTCAGGCAGCTGAAGTCACAAAATGGACACTGCTGGTTCAATGACTTGACCTTCCTTACGTGCATTAGGCTTACTCACC